GGCTCTTGCTCGTGGAATTGGGGAAGACAATCCAACTCCCCTTTTAACTTTGCGTTCTGTTTATTATATACCTGACATTCCTTTTAATTTAATCTCTGTTAGCAAGTTGATTCATTCTCTTTCATGTACTGTTACCTTCTCTAAACAATCCTTTTCTATGCAGGATTCGGGTACGGGGAAGACGATTGGAGCGGGCATTGAGTCACGAGGTTTCTACTATCTGATTGCACCACCTTCTCCAGTAGCCTGTTCTCTCACAGAGTCTCCTGAGCTAATTCACAGCCATCTGGGTCATCCAAGCCTCTCCAAGCTTTGGCATATGGTTCCCTTTTTATCCAGTCTTAAGTCTTTAAATTGTCATTCTTGTCAGCAAGGAAAGCACACTCGCTCCTCCTTTGCTAATAGAGTCAATAAAAGAGCTGATGCTCCTTTTACTATTGTTCATTCTGATATTTGGGGTCCGAGTCGAACAATGTCTGTTTTGGGTTTTTAGTATTTTGTCACCTTTATTGATGATTTCTCTCGTTGCACTTGGGTTTATTTAATGGAAAATCGTTCTGAATTATTTTCAATTTATCAAAAATTTTGTGCCGAGATAAATAATCAATTTGGTGCTTCTATTCAAATTTTGCGCAGTGATAATGCAAAAGAATATGTGTCTCTTGAGTTTTCTAATTTTTTGGAGAAACGTGAGACGTTACACCAGACCACTTGTCCACACACTCCACAACAAAATGGAGTGGCCGAACGTAAGAATCGGCATCTGGTTGAAACTGCTCGTACCCTACTAATTCATATGAATGTTCCACTTCGTTTTTGGGCAGATGCTATAATCACCTCTTGCTTTCTCATCAATCGCATGCCCTTTTCCGTACTCAATAACGAAGTTCCACTTAGTGTTTTATTTCCAAGAGCACCTTCCTATCCTCTTACCTCCACATGTATTTGGATGTACCTGCTTTGTTCATGATCTTACTCCAGGAAAAGATAAATTAACATCCAAAGCCTTCAAGTGTATTTTCCTTGGATATACTCGTTTTCAAAAGGGGTATCGTTGCTACTCTCCTGATCTCAAGCGTTATATTGTCTCGGCTGATGTCACTTTCCTTGATCAACAACCTTTTCATTCTATCCCATCTCAGATAACACAAGTTGATCAAGTTCTTCCTGTTCCTTTTCTTGATTTGTCTTTACCAGTTGCAGGAGACTCTATCCCGGAGGAGCAACCCCTTGCCTCCATCCCTGTGGACCGTCTTTTTCTCACCTATCAGCGTCGTCAGCCTGCGCCTCCAGCGGATTTGACCCTTACTGACTCACCGCCTGCTGCTGTCGACACTTCCCCTCCGGATCCTCCATCAGAGATTACTCACATTGCCCTTCGCAAAGGTATTCGATCCACTCGTAACCCTCATCCACTTTATAGTTTCTTGAGTTATGATAGACTTTCTTCACCACATTTTACTTTTGTTTCTAGTATTTCGTCTATTTCTATTCCTAAAACCACAGGTGAAGCACTCTCTCATCCGGGTTGGCGTCAAGCAATGATTGATGAAATGCAAGCACTTCACTCCAGTGGCACATGGGATCTTGTTCATGCTACTCCTGAAAAGTCAGTTGTCGGTTGTCGATGGGTATTCACTGTCAAAGTTGGTCCTGATGGCACTGTTGATCGCCTCAAAGCTCGTTTGGTGGCCAAGGGATACACTCAGATATTTGGTCTTGACTATGGGGATACTTTTTCTCCTGTTGCCAAGATGGCATCTGTTCGCCTATTTCTTGCACTTGCTGTCATTCATCAATGGCCTCTTCTACAACTTGATATCAAAAATGCATTCTTACATGGTGACTTGCAAGAGGAAGTATATATGGAGCAACCACCAGGTTTTGTTGCTCAGGGGGAGAGTTCTGGCATGGTATGCAAGCTTCGTAAATCTTCATATGGCCTGAAGCAGTCTCCTCGGGCCTGGTTTAGTCTCTTCAGTTCCGCTATTCAATCCTTCGGTTTAACCCGAAGTAAAGCGAATCATTTTGTCTTCTATCGGCATAGCTCTTCTGGCTAGCGCATCTATCTCCTGGTCTATGTTGATGACATCATTATTACTGGCAGCGATCAAGCTGTGATTGATCAGTTAAAGAAGTACTTATTCAATCAGTTTCAGACCAAAGATCTTGGCAGACTTCGATATTTCTTAGGAATCGAAGTAGCACAGTTTAGGAAGGGCATTTCCATTTGTCAGAGGAAGTATGCACTGGATATCTTAGATGAGACTGGTATGTTGGGATGTAAACCCATTGATACACCTATGAATCCTAATATTAAGTTATTACCTGGACAGGGGGAGCCATTGGCAGACCCTGGTCGTTACCACCGGCTAGTTGGAAAGTTGAACTATCTTACTGTGACAAGACCAGACATCTCTTTTTCAGTTAGTGTGGCAAGTCAATTCCTTGACTCTCCTTGTGACTCTCATTGGGATGCAGTTATCAGGATTCTTCGATATATCAAAAAGGCACCGAGAAGATGTTTATTATACACTAATAAGGGGAATGCAGAAGTGTCTAGCTATTCAGATGCTGACTAGGCAGGTTCTCCTTTAGACAGACGATACACCTCGGGCTATTGTGTTCTTCTCGGAGGAAATTTGATCTCTTGGAAGAGTAAGAAGCAAACTGTGGTTGTCAGATCAAGTGCAGAGGCAGAATATCGAGCCATGGGAAATGCGACATGTGAGCTCATCTGGCTAAAGCAATTGCTTAAGGAATTACATCTCTGTGAACAACGGCCCATGAAACTCATTTGTGACAATCAAGCCGCATTGCACATATCCTCTAACCCAGTCTTTCATGAGAGGACTAAACATATAGAAATTGATTGTTAGAGAGAAGATTCAGTCAGGCGAGATCGAGACATCATTTGTCAATTCCAGTGATCAACTTGCAGATGTTTTCACCAAGGCTCTTAGAGGTCCCCGAATAGATCATATGTGTAACAAGCTGGGTGCTTATGATATATACGCACCAGCTTGAGGGGAAGTGTTAGAAATAATATTAGTTTTATTATTATTAGTTTATTATTCTAGAAGGTTATTTGGGCTTAGCCCATTAGGTCATTTAACCTCTTTAAATAGAGAACTCTTGTACAGTTTTATACAATTGAATACAATACATTCATACATTCATAGCCAAGTATATATATGTAAAGCATTTTCCAAACATATTTCTTTTTCTCATATGGTGCCACACCCTAAATATAGAACCAAAAAGGATAAAATTAATATACATCATAGCCACGGCTATGTTTGAATATCTAATGATGGTTGGAATGGGAAGGAATGGAATGGAATAAAATTACCATACCATTGTTTGAATATTCTAAGATTGAGTGAAGTAAAGTTTCCATTCCATTGATTGGGAAGTGGACAGAATGGTAAGGGGATTAGTGAATAGTAAGTTGGTTCCATCCAATACCTTCCGATTTGGGAGGGAAGAAAAATAGAGGTATTGGATGGAATCAAATGGAATGCATTCCATCTTGTTCCATTTTATTCCATCCTATTTCAAACAATCCAAACAATGGCAATTAATTTCATTTCGAAGTCACTTTCGGAACCATACTTCCTACAGCTAACACGTGTCCAGTCCAGCGGGAACGCGCAGCGCAAAATAACGTAAGCTGCTCGAATCCCCCGCTGGCCATCGGGGACCGAGTGGTAAGGCCATGATCCGCAGGGGAACGGATCACTCATTCTTCCATTGGGGACAGGTGCACGAACGACAACCCTTCATTCGGACCACTAGAAATCGAACTTGAGTAACCTTATTTCTTAGAATTATATGATATTCTTTAACTTTTTTCCAAATGTAAGATAAATTCAAATGGATTCTCCAGTGGAATGGTTAACGTGATTTTATCAGTAAAAAGATCATGGGCTATATCAGAAGTCAACGGTTCTCTACCATATGCCGTTTGGCAGGTGCGGGTTTTAGGACCCGGTCTCTCAAGATAGAAAGGCGGTTACCCTTCTCGACTAGCTCTGGAAAGAGCGCTATATGTAATTTCTTTCTATTCCGCTCCATTCCATGTCTTTCAATCAATCCAAAAGTAGCCTAAGACATTTAAGTGTTTTGATTAACAGCAAGAAGCAGCCAAAGATGGGTAATAGATGAGCAGTTTTTTTTTATTTGCAACCAAAAAAAAAGCAGATAAGAAAAAGAAGCAACTTAACTTGCAAATGCTAAAATACTCATAAAAGTTGTCAGTAATGCCTAATAGTTTCCCAAATCAAACCTCACAATCCCATCCCGCCACATGTGGAAAGCCCCAAAATAAGTACAATAGTCGGGATTTATTAATCAGCAATCACTTGAAGTTAGCCCAGAAAGCAACTATCACTACTTCTGGATCCGGTGAAAGTAAAAAGCATTGACCTTCTAGTACAATGGAAGCAACGCAGCTCAAGTGCAATGGTAGAGGAAGACTAACTTCAAGGCATCACCAATAAAAATTTTCAATCCAATTTTCAGAGAATCAGTTATGGGCTCACCAAACAGTCATTCGCAGTCAACATCAAGTATATTAATACCCAAGCTCAAACTATTAAGTAATTGATGCTTGCCATTCCATCTTAACTTGAATTAAGCAACCAAAGTGACATGAGAAGTGGATATAATTAAACTAATAAACCTAACAGTACACTCAACAGGCACCTGAAATTTTCCTTACTATGAGAAAATTGCTGATCTGTTTACAGACACCTCAACACACAAGTTATCATGACTGCTTTTATCTCCTATCAGCATACCAACACACATTCTTATGCTTTTTCAGGAAACAGCCACTTTCTATGCCAGTCAAACTCACTCTCAACATATCAAAATATGCTTAACAACATCTATCTACATCAATTTCGAGCCAGAATAACCACACATGATGACTCTACAAACTCAAATTCCAATTCCGTGATGCAATTCCACTGAAAACCAAAGAGCGAAACCCTAACCTTGTCGTTTTTGAAGCGAGTTCGGATGTTGCCGAGCTCCTTGTCGACGCGGAGTCTCTCCTGCTCTTTGTTCTGGCTATTGCGAACGTCGCTGATGAACACCGATAGACCTCTCATCCCGGACAACGCCATCTCCGCTCAGATCCGCCGCCGGGAAGGAGCGGAATCCGGTGCTCTTCACCTGCCAAATTCGCAGAGGACAAGATAGATCCACCAACACAATTCGCGCTTAGATTCAGATTCAGCTCCAATTCAGTAAGGAAATTTCGCAGAGAGAATCTAGAGCGAGAGTGAAAAATGAAAGAGAGAGAAAGAGAAAATGAAGTGAGGAAAAACACTTGAAAGTAAGACAGCGCTGGAACAACCACCTATATTTACCAATTACCATTACAATATCATACAGATAATCATTAATTATTTAATTAATTAATTAATTTTATGTTTATCTAGTTCCTTTGCTTCCAATGCGATCGATTTTGTTCTCTCTATTTCAACATTTCAAGTCAAGATTGGTACCTTGCCTGGGTCAAAGTCAACAAAAAAACTGCACAGTGCGTGTACATATATACGTGCTGTGTTTTATAGCTTGCACCGTAAATTCAATCTCAAACAGACACTAAACTTTACCTGATTGAAACACTATATTAATTACAGTTTTTCTCTTTAAAATTATTATGTTAAACTAAAGTTGAAGTACTTGGTTGGTGACATGTTAATTTTAAAGCATTGTGTTCACAGCTAGACTGGCCCCTCTTGAATAAACAATCGAGTAATTGCTGCGCAATTTCTATATCCAATGGATGATGTAAATGAACATTTAGTGTTGTTGGTCTGCGAGCAACAAAGGGGAACATTGCAAGAAGGGTACTTTACCTTTGAACTTAGTAGAAGCTCTCTCATGGTTCTCTTTGGAATTTTAAGTAATATTATCTTTGTGCAGTGCAACTTTAAATAGTTTGATCATATCATTTAGTTTTCACCAATTTACTAATAAAAATAATTGATTACATGATAGCATCCTTTCTCATACCATCATATATGTTCTACCAAAATCGCACAGCTACTGTGAAGGCCATTGCAGCAAGTGGGACCTTCTTTGCAGCATGACCTTCAGACAAAGTTCACATTATAACTTTGGATTGGATCGATCCAAAAATTATCTAATTCAATTTGTTCGGTTTGATCATTTATTCTGTTTAAATTTTTTTAAAATTCAATCCAATTTTATTCGATTTGGATTAGATCAGTTTTCGATTTTTTAAAAAGTCTAAAATTTCAGTCCTACCAACCACTAACTATATTAAAATAAAGTCATATAAAATTATATATCATCGAAAAATTCAAGTTTTCAAACTAAAACAAGGGTAAAAAATCTTGAAGAGTTAAAATAGATTAATAGACAATAAAAAATTAAAACAAAAACTTGCTATTAATAACATCCAATATTCCAAAACAAAATTTCATTCACCGTCTTTTAAAAATAATAAGTTTTCACCGACCAAATTAAAAATCAATTTAATTCAATTAAAATATATTAGTTATTATTTTTTCAATTCAGCCACCACGATTCAAATATGTTGACAGACGCTGAAAGTTACCCGAAACAATCCTCAGTGACGTGCTTTGCAAAAGACCCAACCGAAAAAGGAAGAAAAAAAAGCATGACACGTCGCCTGAGAGATTCGAACTCTCGCGGGGAAACCCCATGTACTTAGCAGGCACACGCCTTAACCACTCGGCCAAAGCGACGTTATTGGTGGTTATGTCTTTTATTATCTAATTCTCATAACAGTTTGAGTCACAATTATAATATTCACTGTACAAACATTTTCATTAAAATATAATGAATGTTTAAGAAGAACATTTTAAACTCTCACGACACGACTATTACGTATTAAAATACTTGCAAGAATCGAGTATTTTACTCCAAATTGCCAACCCTAGGATAACGAGGAAAAAAAAGGTCAGATGCATGCCAACAAGCATACACAATTATCATTTATAAAAGTAATTATAATAGTGTCACAATTATACAGTAACGACAAAGCAAAATGCAAAATTGAGCTGTTTAGGTCACGAAATCGCTGGCAATTGTTTCATTGCACTGAACAACAGCACTACACATATGCTTCTGTTAGGTTATATGAATATAATTATGACAGTGCCATTACCCGAATATTTATAATAATGCCATTCAGAATATTCAAGACAGTATACATTCATATAATTTATTCGGTAACAATTTCGGGTGCCTTTTTTAGGAACATGAACAGAAAACATGCAACATATTTTTAGTGTCACAAACATAATTTATTTATGTTCTGCTGTACCCTATAAACGTAATAAGTTCTAGATGATCCAGAACATCAACTATATAGATCAGTAGCACATTTCTAAACTGTAACGAACACCCATTTGTGAGTTCCAATCTCTGTGCATCAGCTTTCCATCTTTAGCAGGAGAACTTAAATGTGATTATTTCTTCGACAACTATAATGACCTTCATAAATGTGAGTCTAAAAAATAATCTTCCATTATCAGTAACTTAAATATGAAGAATAAATTCAATGTATAAATACATGAGCTTTAGAGGAAAGATGTTGCTTGTTCTGTGTCAAAATTGCCTCTATGAAGTGTACAACCAACTTTAGAGGAAAGAAATAGAAAATGTCCAGAACAGTAAACTTGTGTTGTGAAAATTAAAAAAAAGAAATGGATTAAGAAACATTTTCCTTCCCTTTCCTCGTACAAAAATTTTAAAACCACACAACACTGCTATGTATATGAAAAGAAGAACTTCTGATTTCTTTATATTACTTAAACCAAAGAAAAACTTTTTCTGTGTCCAGATTGATGGGATCGACTTGCACGCTCAATTGATGCTCTTGGTGGGGGTCCAGTGCGGTCAAGAGATTCTGGTTGAGCATCTGAAGATCTTGGAACAAGTTTACACCCAATTTTCCTGGCAACTAATCGAGGAGAACTAAGGGAACTATGACATTTGGTCACACTTTTCATTTCTTGCTTTATTTTACTAAATTCTTCTTCAAGTTCTCCAACTCTAGACATCATCCTTTCCATATCCACCTTTAAAACTTGATTTTGATGTGCTATAGTCACCCATCCATCCCTTTGTACAATTTCGCCGGCCAAGTCACCTGGGGCAGTTACCGGAACTTCGGGGGCAATTTCACTGTCCAATGCATGGAGACATCCAGCTAATGCTGTTCTCAACTGCAGCTGTTCAAAGAACAACACTTGAAGCACAACTCTGAGGGGAAACCTATCATTTTGGGATGCATGAGTACAGGCATGGATTGAGAGTTTCTGGTAGTCAATGATGCTGCATAGTTCTTCCTTCTCTTTATCTGAGAGCCAAGGATGTGCCTGCATAATACCATAAGCAGTCATCAAACAATCTGCGACCGCAAAGGAGCCTTTATTTAAAGTGCAGCTCAAGAAAATCAAACCTTGAAATATATGTCCAGTGCCCTGTAAAGTCCATCATGCAATGATCTTGATGACTCGGGGAGGGCCTCTGCAAGAGTGCGTATCGTTTTGGGTTTCAAATTTACGTCAGAAGCAATTTCTGCAATATAGCTGTCCATCAACTTTGCAACTTTCCTTAAAGATTCAGATGATGGTGATGCTTGCAGGTCAAGTGATGAAGGAGAAAAGGCAGTTATACTTGATTCCGAAGACATAAAATAATGGACAATACGTTCAATACATTCTGTGTTATATAGTATATCAGAATCTGAATAATTAGGAATCAGAAGGCTATCTAGAGTTGCCAGTTCCAATTGCATCCCTACTCTCCTCTCTAAAAAGTCCTTGCATGTTTGATTAACATTCAATATCAAAGCCACACGAACAAGTCCCAATAGAAAACGGCAGAAGGATTTTCCCTTTTTTTCAGGAAGAAGTTTCTCAATGCTTTCCAACAGAATCCTCTGATCAACAGCAGCAGGCGTCAAGCTCAAACTTGCAATTGTTCTGGTTTTGCCACCTTGTCCACCCGGCCAGCGATCAAGCCCCGGTAAGTACTTTCTAGAATAGTACATTATGGCACCTGCCAGGTTTTCAGATCTTACACCTCTCACTTGCATTGTCTTAATAAGCCTCTCAAACAAACTCACACTCAAATATGAAACGTCTTCGAACCACCAGTCAGATTCTGAGCTTCGGATTCTGGCACCAGTATTTATACCATTCCATAGAATGCTTCCACCAGGGCTCTGTAAACTCCCATACATCATCATGGGCCATCCAAAAAAGCTTGGATCCGTACAAACCATCATAGATAGGGCATTCAAACACTTGCCAACTAAATGAAGCTTTTCAGCTCTTGGTAGAACAGGCTCAGAACTTTGAAGAGTCAAAATACAATCTTTCCAGTTGTGCAGTACATTTTTATGGAGAAAACTCGCTGATTTTGACAACAAGTTACCTTCTCCAAATTCATCTGTCATTTCAAGATAATCTGCAGCACAGGAGACCAATACTACATTTCTGGCTGTCAGTTCTACACGAAACCCATAACAGAATTTGGCAACAATTAAGAAAGTGTCAGGACCACCAGGGAATTCTTCCAGCACCATAGTCAGAGTTTTCGCATAGGTATTCTTGGACTCTTCATGTGCTCGAGAAATTTTTCCACATTTTGATACAAGAGGGAACTGCATTAACATAGCATATCTAGCTCAAACTCCAGTGCAACAGTACAACTCGTAATTTTTCATATCAAACAACAGTATGACTACCATAAACAAGGCTTATATTATCCTAGCTCTCCGCAATTTACGCATAGTGGAACCAAAAAAAAATAACAAACTGACTGTCATATGAACTTTGTCCAACATCTCAAAACACTTACTTCTGTCTCAATCCTAATGGGAGGGCCTGGAAAACTACTTGAGTAGGAAATGGCATATCATGTAATTAATCATGTTAGAAGTTATCTTGTTGTGGTTAGCATAGATGACACATTTGGAAAACTAGACAAATATTTAGCTCTTTCACCTACTGGACAGTTTGATCTGTATTAGAATTTCCATTCGTAATTAGTTAGTTAGTTAGTTACCAATCTGCACCACTTGAGGTGTACACCCAACAAGAACCAATACTATTTAAGCAGACATCCATAGCAATCATGTTAAATAATACCAAATGATCTTAGAAACAATCCATCATTAAAATAAAATTTTCCCTTCCTCTTCTCAACTTAAACTGCAGGTATTTCAATTTAAGCCTAAAAAATAAACAAACAATAAGGCTAAAGGGTCTATATCGTGAAAGCTGTGATCTTTGCAAAAGGCTCTATCTCTAGTATGAGTCTTATCAGAAGCATATCAATTGGTTTAGATCAAAGTTCAAAGAAAACCATACAGAGCATGAGGGGCAAAAAAAAGTAAGCTAATCCAAATCAAATAGGAAAAAGTCCCAACTCCCAAGATGATAAGTTGCGGATGTTCTTGGCAAAGTGAACACCTCATGCTGCAGCTCAAAGCACCAGATATATCTATCAATACATTAGTGAAAGGAAGAAAATTTTGGAAAGGAAGCCATGTACCTTATGAAGATGGAAAGTAACATCCTGGATAGAAACACTTATATCGCTGGGCAATTCAGCATTGCAAAACCTACCAAAACCGTGGAAATCAAATAAATTCCGGTATCATAAAGCAGAGATAGAATTGAATTTTGAAGTTTAGAACTTCAAAATAAAAACTTTAGAGAAAGGGAATACCAGTCATTGCCTTCTCGACGAAACCCAGAAAGCTTCCCAGCTTGAGCCATGAAGCAAAGACCCTCTTTTCCCCTCTTACTCTTTCTACCAACCCAACAACATTTTTTTTGGCCTAAAGCTTTGCCCTTTTAATTTGAATAAAAGAAGTAAGAAAAAGGGAAGAATGAATGATGAGAAGGCAAAGAAGGAAGAAAGGAACAGAGCAAGAACGGAACAAAGACGACCCAGAGTCAAATAAGGTCGTGTATGGAACAATGGGTTTTAACAGCTTAACACAATTAACACTCCCATTTCAAAATAATGCCTCCACCACGACGAGTCGACCATAAAAAAGAGTATGAATAGTACAATTAATAAGAATATTTAAAATTCGTCAAAATACACATAAAAAATGTACAAGATCATTAAACGGTGGTAGCTCAATTAATAATAAAAAACTTAATAAGTAAAAAAGAAAGCGTCTTGATTAGTTTCTCACACATCACTTTTGAAAAGATTTAAATATTTTTATTTTTGATTCGCATCGTATTTCAGATTAATCCTATAATTGTCTCAAAAATTGGAAGCATAGAAATATCAAAAATAACTAATTCACCTAAAAAAATAATTAAAATAGAGTTAATTAAAAAAAAACACATGAGATCCATGTAAAAAAGAGAGATAAAAAAAATATATAAGTTCCACATATTTTTGTACATATTTTGATCAACATCCAAAGTTATTGAAATTAATTTTAAAAACTTTAAATTCGTTAATAAAAATCAAAACTATACCTAAATAAGTGGTTTTGTGGAACAGAAAGTGGTGCACGGATCACGACGCCAAAAACGGTCGTGTAAAGTTGAGGTCAAATAATATAAGAAGCAATGTTATGTTTATGTGTGTGTCTTAAGCGTAAAGGGAAACAAAACCTTAGTATAATGCTAGAATGAATGATACAGAGTGGAACGTCACATGCTGGGGCTTTAGCCGGCTGAGAAGAACACTAATTACGAGGTTAAGCAGTGATAAGTGATATGGACTTATAGAGTGTTAATCAATTTTTTTTAATAAAAAAATGTACACTTTTTTGGGCAATTTCATTGATTATTTAATGTACGCGGTGGCTGAAAGGTTGAACGGGTCTTAAATGATATGTGGTGATTATTAATTCAAGTGATTGATTGACTGTGTACTTGTCTTTGGATTTAGATAAATATTGCAATTTAAGATTGCTTAGTTTATTAAAGCATTTTCCCAAAATAAAAAATCTTGATTCGATAATCAATTGATACACCGTTTTTAACCAGTAATTTATTATTATTAACAAGTGCTTGGAATATGTCAATCTCTAACTGTAGAATAAACATTTGCCTTTGCGTTTTTTTGGCAGTTCAACCAAAACATAAACTTTGCTTATTCTTTTGTTTTTAATCATATGAATTCAGCTCAAATGATACCTTCCAAGCTGCTTTAATAATTAGTTCAACCCATTAGCATATATAATTATGTTGGAGATAGTGTTGACCAGTCATCCCTCTTCATGATAATGAGCTTTTACATCATGTCCAAAGCAAAATAATGAGACTGATTTACCCGTAAATTACTACTCTTGGGATTGTGAAAATATTTTATCTTGTGTAATATCCTTGGACAGTGGCAACCGAAAATGGGGTGTAACGTCTGATAACCTGCAAGAATCAACGACTATTCCCACACACTAACACGAGATTTTTCAGTGTGCTTTGTCCTCACTCGCACACTTCCTGAAAAAACTTCCCAGGAGGTCACCCATCCCTGAATTGCTCCAAGTCAAGCACGCTTAACTGTAGAGTTCTTTCGATCCGGGCTACCGAAAAGTAGATGCATCCTGTTAGTATAGGTAGTACCAATTAATTCTTATAAGCCATTCCCAACTGTACCGTCCCATACCAGCACAGTCTCTGGAATCCCTCTCTTTCGGGTGTTGATTCGATTCAATCATGTACCCCGTCCTTAGGAGCCTGCCAAGAGTCGCTCCTTGTCCGTGCCCTTGCGCACCGGAGATCACTCCCGGCCCTCCTCAGCGCCCGGGATGTTACATGCCCACCAGCTTCCGCCTGGTTCGTCCTCGAACCACACCGTACTGGATGAGAGGCCCTGCTCTGATACCACTTGTAACGCCTGGCAACCTGCAAGAATCAACGACTATCCCCACACACTAACACGAGACTTTTCAGCGTGCTTTGTCTTCACTCGCACACTTCCCGGAAAAACTTCCCAGAAGGTCACCCATCCCTGAATTGCTCCAAGTCAAGCAGGCTTAACTGTGGAGTTCTTCCGATCCGGGCTACCGAAAAGTAGATGCATTTTGTTAGTATAGGTAGTACCAATTAATTCTTATAAGTCATTCCCAACTGTACCGTCCCATACCAGCACAGTCTCTGGAATCCCTCTCTTTCAGGTGTTGATTCGATTCATTCATGTACCCCGTCCTTAGAAGCCTGTCAGGAGCCGCTCCTTGTACGTGCCCTTGCGCACCGACGATCACTTCCCGCCCTCGTCAGCGCCCGGGATGTTACATGGGGTGTGCAAATTTAACTTGTGCAACTAAATAAACTTACACAATTATTTAATTTGAAAAGATTAATTAGCTGAATATATATACATATATGATGATATTTTATTTAATTGATTATAATAAGGAGATGATTAAGTATAATTAATATGTGATTGGCATTAAAATATATTATCATGATTGATTAACTTTGATATTTAAAATAATTATTTTAATTAATTAAACTCTTGGTATTAAGTCTAAATTTGTTACTTTTACAGAAATAATTTTAAGTTTGATTAATCAAAACAAATACTTTAAATATCAAAATTAATCAATCTAAATCAATCATGATATCTCAAATATCCATCACATACTGATTAGATTTAATTATCTAATTAACATAATCAATTAAGTTAAATAAAACATCATCATATCCCATATTCAGCCCCTCCCCAATGGGTGCAGCTCAGTTGGTAACTTGGCGCTGAGTTAGTGGGGTTGGATATATGTTCGATTCTCGCTGAATGCATTCTTGGGGAGGGGGCTAAACCTTTAGCTATCATTGTTCCCCCGCACTCCGGATTAGTCCCATAGCCGGCTCAAAGAGTCGAAGCTCGTGGGGATACCGGAGGGAGCCAACTCGTCTCAAAGAGATAATTAGGGTTGGTAACTCCAAAAAAAAAAAAAAAAAAAAACATCATCATATCCCATATTCAGCTTTTTAATGTTTTTTAAATTAAATAATTGTGCAAGTTTATTATTAGTGCACCTTGCTACATGATAGCACTCTTTTTAAAAATAAAATAAAAAAATTGCACAAATTATATTTGCACATTTCCTTTACCGGTACACTAAACCGATCAATGAGCAAAGAATGAAGCTAACAAAAATCACATGTATGTAATTTGTATGCATAATGTCGATATAACTATATTATTATGATTTAATAAGTGCAGCCTTATCACCAAACACGTAAATTAATAGATAAAGAGTTATTTCAATTTAACAGGTGGTTTGGACCAAATTAATCGATTATTTGATAAATTCAGTTATGTGTATCTTTTAATCTCTTTCACAGGTCAGTTACCCGGCACACCAGAGCCCTACGGATTGTGTTATAGCTTTAGCCAAAACTTTTGAGTGCAGGACAATAAACGGGACAATTATTGGATGATATAATTGTTTACAATGATAACGATTTTTTTTTAGTCTCCTTAATCGATTCATCTTTCAAAATTATTTAATTTATTCTTAGACTCGAACTCGAAACCTCTAATTAAGAAATAGAAATTTCTTAACACCAGTGTCAATGATATGTAATACAATAGTAACGGCTTTTATGGTTCTGTTATGATTCTATAAAACATTTTGGCATAAATGTCCGTATTGAAAAAGACTAAAAAGGCCTCTCTATAAAAATACATAAAAGACGAGAATGTTCTTTAGATACTGTGTCGTCAGAACTGCATTTGTGTCCAAAAAGGCCAAAAGAACAATATTTATATAACTAGGTTATACTTGTTCAACCACGTAGGTATAATTCTGGCACACTATCCTAAACTTGGTTAATTTGGAAAGTTCACCACCGACTCACCGAAATGATTTGAATATCGTATTTTTAACGGAGCTGAAAATGGAACTCAGACTACTCTGAATACGTATTTGAATTTTGTTTACACGTGATTAAACTAATTTAATTTTGAAACAGTATCCGTTTACAAATTTTTTTTACAATTACACTAATGTAAGATCGATCGTACACTGTGTGATTAATGTAAAACCGGTCCTACATAGTGTAGTTTCTAAAAAAAAAATTTATAAATATAACCTGCCCCGATCAATCACCTCCGGCCTAAAATCTTTCCAAAAAAAAAGAAGAAAGAAAGAGACTTTAGTTATTGTTGTAATATAATTGATAATGAAAAAATAATTTGATTGTTATATTTAAATAATAATGAAATAAAAAACGCCTTAAAACAATATATAAACCACAAAACAAAATAAGAACAACTAATACAAACTAAAGATACCATGTAAGCATTTCCTATAATGTGAACCGAAAACCTATTGAAGAAGAATGAGATTAACCTTATGCCTGGGAAGGATTTAAATCTCTTGGAAATCCCAAAGAAAACAATTCATCCTTTTCACAAAATGGGAAGCCTCTCCTTTCAAACCCACCCAAGGAATTAGAATGTGAACCGAATATAATTCAGCATCCTTTCCTAATAAAATATTTGATGGATAGATACCAACCATGCAAGGGGGAAATTGGAGCTAACAAGAATAAAAAGTGATTCATAAAATAAATTAATGACAAATAATTTAGAACACATGGCTTCTGAGTGTCAAACAGAATGTTACAACTTACAACTGAGCTGGAAAGACATATGCCAGCAATGACCGACAGACCTCTAAAACATGAAGAAAAAAAAGAAGAAACAAAAACCACCTTTCCTCTTATATAAAATGCCTCCACATGTTTTAGTAGCGCAAAGCTCTACATTAAAATTACATAGCAGCATCACAGATTAAGGCATTTGGGCTATTTACCTTTTGGTACAGAAACCAAAACGAGGAAAATTTATCATGTATATAAAATCAACCAGTAAAAATATATGTAAGGTCCTCGATGACCAGAGAACTTAGGCAAAAATACCCTTCTCAAAGGTAGCACATCCACATCACCATCACCATCACCATCATAGGCTTAACTTGCAACGGGTTTTGCAAGGACTTTCTTAATGGCTTCAGCATATGTCCTGTGCTGATAGGTCAGAGTGGATTCAAGCAGATCCCAAAGCGAGGTCTTAGGATTCCATCCTGAAAGAGGCAATAACCCCGTTAACAGGTAAAAGTAAAGTAACATATAATCTCAAAGTTCAAATAGGGTGAATGAATGAGGAAACCTACCAAGTTGCCTGTTTATTATGGTCATGTCAGGAATTCTCTTGTCACTATCATCATATCCTTCCCCATAAAATTCTTTCGAGCTCACATCAATTGTAGGTGTTTCAGGAGGTTGCTCTCCACTCACCTTTGAGTAAACCTGGATAATCGAATAACAACAACTCTTGAATCCCCTAAACAACATGATTATATTCTAACATTAGAGCCAAATGATACAAAATTAATCATTTCACCTGAGTCATCATTTCAGCAAGCTGTCTAACTGTAACCTCATTGTTTGGGTTACCTACATTGAAGATATGGCTATTGGCCCTGGCAGGATTTTCCTGTTAACAGGTCACAACATTCAGTGGACCAGCCGACAATAATGAATAATTTAAGATGAACTTCTACAACAATCACATGACCTGTATTTATAAAACAAATAGTCCACATTAAAGATTGGATATGAGAACCTACAATCATCAATAAGACAGCTTCAATAGCATCTTTTATGTAAATAAAGGTTCTCTGGGATTGGCCACCGTCCACAAGCTTGAGGGGCTCTCCTCTTAGAAGATTCTGCAGTAAAGGTATAAAGAGAAAATTTATAACTACGGGAAAATTTGGCTAAAATATCTACAAACTTCAACAGAAGCTAAATCGAAGAGTAACTGACATTGCTAAAGCATGCAAGAACCCGAGGAACGCCCTCACTTGGACCATCAATGCCAGGAATGAAATCCATTCGAGGTCCAATCCAGTTAAAAGGCCTCACAATTGTGAACTCCATGCCATTTTCAGCACCCTCAGCTGTCAATCATCACATGTCAGTGAGACAAGTAAAGATTTAAAAAAGAAAAAAAGTTTATACCAAAAATAAACAAAATAAAAAATCAGCAAACCATAAATCAGCCTCTCAATCAACTGCTTTGCACAGGCATAGGACCATCTCTGCTTTTCGATTGAACCAAAAATGCATGGAGACTCATCTTCTTTAAGAACATAGTATGCAGGATCCTGACACAACATTGGTAACAATACAGCTCAGCTCATTACAAGAAAGAAACAACCAACCATAGCTCCCAATACAAAAACAGAAGATACAGAGACAAAAAAACCAGATTGGGACAATTGATTGAAAAATGTCAATATGGATAAGCTAACAAACCGAGGAAGAATATATGGATAACTTATGACACTTCACAATATATCAATCTCCTGTAACTAACAAGCCAAATACAAGTGGAAAATGTGCAAAGTCAACATCATACGATAAGAGAAGGTATCACAACCTAAACAGAACGGAAAAAAACCACAAAGTTTTGTTACTTGATAGAACTCAGTGGGATGGGACTACCACCGACATTTTCCCAATCATGCAAACGCAAAACAAATAAATCACGAAGCACAGATCTGGAATATCTCAATCCAAAGAAAACGATTAAAAAAGAAATAGCAAAGATTAGGATAGTGAAAGGTTACCTGACGAAGAGGACTATCTTTGGGGAGAAAACTTCCAATCGTTTTCCCATACACTTCACAAGTAGAGAAATGAATAAGCCGCTTGTTATTTTCCGAACAGTACTTCACCTGAAAAGAAAAAAAGAAAAAAAAGAAAACACATCAAATCACACATCCCCTTCAATCAATTCCACCACCCCAACAGAACAATACTCATAAAGATTCGAGCTTGAATCTTGATTCACATTTAAATTCAACAGAAACACAAGAACACGTACCACGGGGAGCGCATCAATGAAATTGCTGTAAATGGTGTCAAGGGGGCGCGTGTTGTAATCCGCTGGAGTGCATATTGCAGCCAGATTTATGGTCTGAAACAGAGACTTTACTTTGAGCACATATCCAAGAAACCCATAATTCGAAAAAATAATAATAGGAAATTTAAAATTTTGGGTTATTGGGGTTACCAGATCTGCCATCTTGATGAGACCCTCGAGCCTGGAATCGTGTTTAATGTTGAGGCGGTGGAAGTGGATGCGACCAGCCCAAGGGAGCGTGTCGGGTTCCAAGAGGTGCTTGATCTTGTCGTTGTAGACATCCAAGGCGAGAACCTTGTGTGGTGTCTCCGACATGAGCTTCTCGCAGAGATGGGAACCGATGAACCCGCCGGCGCCGATCATGCAGATTGTGATTGGCTTGATGGGGTTGCCGTCAAGATCTACTCGTGTCGACGCCATTGTTATTGTTGTTGTTTCTTCGAGAGTGAAGAATGTGATAACAACGGTGAAGGCTAATTATTATTGATTTTTAATGGGAGTGATGGAATGGAAGACGAAGAAAGAGAAGTGCTAAATCATAAATAATATAGTCAGTTATTTAAAGGGAGAATACGAAAATGAAAAGACCAAGAAGAGAAGAAGAGAACATGTTTCACGTTGTGACACCCTCGCGAACATTATTCACTTCCTTCTTATCCAACGCGCGTTTAGCGGTTTAGTGCCTACTCGCTCTATATGCCTCACACGCTCATCGGTTTAAATGTTTTTTTTTGGATTTAATTTGTTTTTAAAAATATTTATCGTTTTAAAGGTTGATTATTTTATTTAAAAATTTATATTAAAAAATTATTAATGGGTGGATTGGTTTTGGACAAAAAAATCTATTGGCATTCAATTAAAATTTTAAAGGATTGAAAAAAAAATCATGTGGTATTCGATTAAGATTTTAAAAGATTATTTTATAGTCCGTCTAAATTCGTTGATATTCAATTAGGATTTTAAACAAAGAAAAAATAATCTCGTGGTATTCAAAAATTTAACGATTTTAATGAATTTTCTATTGGTGTGAATTTCGTGAGATTTTTTTAGGTGGTGTTTGGTTGGGTGGATTTTGAAATAACCCCATGTAAATGAAGTTGGCATTCCTCAAAGCATGCATTTGGTTGAGAGTGAATTGGATGAATACCGAGGCAAGGTTGATGCCTACCATTTTCATTTTTGTGCCATTTTCCTATGCTTCCACACTGTTTAGAATCCATTTTAGAAGGTGGTTTTTTAAAGAAACCCAGCTAAATCACGTAGGGCCCACAACATATGAGACCACAATACCCTCCGATATTATATGTCCGGGGCTTTGCCGTCGACCAAGGAAACAATCTCTTTTTGGGGTCTCTTCCCATTTGCTTAAAAAAAATGGACTCTCTCTTTCTCCTATCTCTGTAGTATTTAACTTTGCTCGTCTAGAAACCTTTCTTTTCTATCTTATTAAAGCCAAGAAACTTTGTTACATTTCAGTGTGAGTTGGTCCTCACAAGTGGGGCCTCTTCTCTTTACTTTTCTGGGAAATTTTCATACAACTCTCAGGCTAACTATGACTTATCGGATTTAGCAATCAACTATTGAGTAGTGATGATGGGCGTGAACCAAGGGCCCGAGCGTTGAACTGAGAAGCAGAAGCAGAGGAGACTTTGGTGATGGGGTGGTGCTTTTGTTATAAAAGAGGGATATTTTCATAATTGCTATTTATTTTTCCATCTATATTTGATCTCAAACCAAACATAGACTTTATAAATCTTACCTAATTTGTCCGGAAATTTTTTTTCTAACCAAACAACTTTTTTTACATTTTCCTACCAAACTCATTTTCCAACCATTTCCCTATCAATTACATTTTCCTAGTATTCAAAAAATTTCTCTTCAACCAAACGCCACCTTAGTGAGAAATATATATAGGATGCTTCTCTCACAATCTCACTTTAACTCGTAGGATTTCTTGAGATTTCTCTGTTGCAGTGTCTTCTTCTTCCTTTGGCGGGTCGACTTGCTTAAAATCGGGTTCCGCCATGGAAGCTTCATCAAAACTCAAAACAGCAAATTTTTGGGTGATTTTCATCACAAAACAACTCAGAAACAACAATCCAATAAGATTTTAATATAATCCATCTCAAAAACAGCAGATTTTTGAGCAATTTTTAAGAGTTTTTGGAAGTTTAAAAAATAATTTTTCAAACTATTGATCGCGATTTTTCTTAGCACACAAATGTATAAGATTTCTTTAGATTTCTCTATTGCAGTGTCTTCTTCTTCCTTTGGCGGGTCGGCTTGCTCGAAATCGGGTTCCACCATGGAAGCTTTATCAAAGCTCAAAAACAGCAAATTTTTGAGCAATTTTCATCACAAAATAACTCAGAAACAACAACCCAACAATATTTTAATCTAATCCATCTCAAAAACAACAGATTTTTGAGCAATTTTAAAGAGTTTTTGGAAGTTTAAAAAATGATTTTTCAAACTATTGATCGCAATTTTTCTTGACACAAAAATGTATAAGATTTCTCTATTGCAGTGTCTTCTTCCTTTGACGGTTCGACTTGCTCGAAATCGGATTCCGCCATGCAAGCTTTATCAAAGCTCGAAAAGCAGCAAATTTTTGAGCGATTTTTATCACAAAACAGCTCAGAAATAACAACCAAACAAAATTTTAATCTAATCCATCTCAAAAATAGCGAATTTTTGAGCAATTTTTAAGAGTTTTTGGAATTTAAAAAATAATTTTTCAAACTGTTGATCGCAATTTTTCTTGGCACAAACATGTATAATTTTTGTATTAAAAATAACATAAGACAGTGGGAAAACAACAAAGGAACAAAAACTCCCAAACCATTTTTCATTTTAAATCAATGGAACAATATTGATTTAAATAAATATTGAAACTTTTATAATATGAACCTTATGTTTAATAACAATACATTCATGAACGAAAATTTCTCTGCTATAGGAAACGATTTCAAACAATTTTTTTGTCAATAGATCACTAAAAACTTATTTTTCAAAAGTCCCAAAACAATTTAAGGTTTCAATGTATCGATTGAAAATAATTTGAGTAATTTTCTAAACTTTCATGTAATAAAACTCATAAAATCAGATTCAAAATTTTCTTGAAGACATGCATGTGATATATGGCTTTTTGACCCTTTTACCCTTCATTAATTAATTAATAACAATTTCACCCCTTATTCAAAACTATCCACTAATTTGTCCCTCTTCAATCGATTAACTTGAATATTTAATCTATTAAATGGTCAAAACAGACAAAAATAGTTTACTCAAGATTAAATCTCTCTCTTTAATCGATTAAGAGGGATATTTAATCGATTAAAACTTATATTTAATCGATTAAATATCTCAAATGAGCGTGAAAGCATTGATTGAATGAGGCAAACAAGGAAAACTCGTTGGTTTACCGCATAGCGAGAACCAATCTTGATTCATTAACGCATTTGAGTTGTTCCATGAATACAAATTTTCACATAATGCTTGCCAAGTGACCTTTGGCTCCCAACTCAGACCTGTCCCTAGTTTAAGAACATCCTGAACTATGATTGGTTTACCTTTAATCCAACGTTGTTGGAAGAGAAATAGTCCTTCTTCTGACAAGTCATTTGACACTGGACAATATATGTTATTATCATTCGTGCCATCTCTAAAAGCAGCTCTTATCATAGATTTACTGCTTAATATTGCTTATTTCTGAAAAGTTTTGTGCTCAATTTTGCAAAAATTCTTCAGCATGTCACGAATTTTGGCTTCCAACTTAGAAATACATCCATTTGGAAGTATGGACTTCAGCTCCCATACATAGTCACCACAACCCCTCATTTCTTTTAGAGCACATATAATACTTCCATCACTGTTAGCATTCCAATCAGTATATATCTCAACAGTACTCTCTGAAGTCCCTAAATCACAATATATGGTTGAGGATGACCACCATGCATGTACTCACTGCCCTTATTAATATATTCAAACTTCAGTTCAGGCCGGGGTGAAATACTTCCATTTCATATTTCTTCACAACAAGTAAGACAGATTTCAAACAAACACTTGGGACAGCCAAAACTTAATTATTATAGTAAACTAAACCTTAATCATCCCCTTTGAATGTAGCGAGTTTTCCTTGTTTGTCTCATTCAATCAATGCTTTCACGTTCATTTGGAATATTTAATCGATTAAATATAATTTTTAATAGATTAAATATTCAAGTTAATCGATTAAAGAGGGAGATTTAATTGATTAAATCTCGAGTCAACTATTTTTGCCTATTTTGACCATTTAATCGATTAAATATTTAAGTTAATCGAGTAATGATGGGCAGGTTAGTAGATAGTTCTGGGTAAGGGGCAAAATGATTATTAATTAATTAATGAGGGGCAAAAGGGTCAAAAAGACTATGATATATGGTTAGAAAACTCTCATCACGTAGAATAATTTACAAGATCAATTGCAAAAAATTTCAAAAGAAATTTTATCATGAATTTACTGATTGAGAAAATTATATTAAGTTTTACTTTTTTTATTAATATCATTGCATTTCTTTGTTATTTTTTTTATCGCCTCTTGTAATTTTGAATGTTTTTCAAAAATTCATATGGTTTTTTAAAATCTTATAAACTCATATTGTGTTTTCAAATCTTATAAATTATATTAAAATCCATTAAAATCTAATCTTATGAAATCTTGATTGTAAAAAATGTCTTTTAAAAAGTCTTTAAAGTCTCTCAAATTCTAATAGTCTTTTAAAATCTATTAGATTTTTTATCTCAAAAAAATCTTTCAAAATCTTAATCCAATACACCCCTAACTTTCTTTTATCATGATTTTTGTGGGAAAAAACGACCATCATATAACAGGAAGCAAAATAATTTTTCCTAGTGAAAGAAAAATGCATCTGGGTCTCATACATGTAATAAAAACAAAAAAGGTTGTTGCGGAAACCAATGGGTCAATAGGTAAAAATTTTTATATCCTGTTACGTATATTTATTATTTTAAAGGATGATTATTTTATTTAATTTTTTTTATCCACTTTCTTTTTTCATTATTTTTATGAGAAATTATCCGTTTACAATTTTTTTTTATAAATTTTTACAAATTACACTATGTACTTTCGGAAATATATAGTATAACTTAGTGTATTTCTGGGAGTACAAATATAGTTTGTAAACAAAAAATATGTAAATATAACCCTCTATTTTTATTATATATTTTTCTCTTACTTAAAAGATATAATTTTATATTTTTTAAAAGGATAATTATCAAACCCTTAGTTTTAATAAACCGTAACTGCAAAAAAAAAAAAAATTAATTTAATAATTTGAATATCAAGTGTTAATACGTGAAATTTGTTTATTTTTAGTAACTATTAATAGGAGTTTGAAATATTAATAGACCCGATTAATTCAGTTTCGGTTTGTAAGAATTGAGGTTTCCAAAAGTCAAATCCATTATCTTTTTAAGTAGGTCAAATCTAGCTAAATAGACAAAAATTAGATGACCATACCAAATTAGACAAAAATTATCTTAGTAAATGAAAGTGGGAATAGAAAAT